TACAGATGAATAGAATGTATAAGAAGATGGCAATAGATATCACTGTGATTCCCTGGATTCAGCTTTACAGAGGACAACCCTGTCTTTGAAAAGGACACTCATTATTGGAAAAAATTCTCACTTGAAAGGCTGCCCATTCCAAGATCAAGAAGGTTTTGAAGAATTGCCTAGACTAGGGGAAAGAACAGAACCTTTGAAATCACCCATCAACTGCAATTAGCCTTTAAACCAGTGGTTCTCAACCTTTTTAATGCCGCAACCCCCAACCGGTCGTAAGTCGAGGACTACTCAACCAGTCGTAAGTCAAGGACTACTCAACTGGTGCAGCACCGTTTGCAGAATGGGACTTTTGGTGGGCTCAGCAGGGCAGAGACAGCCTGGACAATTCCTATTGGCTTTTGAAAGCCAATAGAATTAGACTCTATTCAAGAGAGTCTATTCTATTGGCTTTCAAAAGCCAATGGAATAAAAGAGAGTAGCACAGCTAAGGAAAAGGGGAAAAAAATGGCGGACTGCGTTGTTTGGCGACCCCCGTGAAATGGTCGTTCGACCCCAAATGGGGTCCCAACCCACAGGCTGAGAACCACTGCTTTAAACAACAACAGAGCACAAACACTGATCATCTTGGCCTGGTTTTTCCCTCCTTGGATAAGTTGTGTTGAGCTTCTATTTAAATTATCACAATTTTAAATGTGTGTATGCATTGTGTATATATGTACTTTCTCTTTTGAGAAATAATTTCCTCTGTACTGGTTTGAGTAATGGGGCATCTACCCTAGGCAATACATAACCCATAGCTGCATATTTGCAAGGAATGACAGGAATGGAAAGAGGAAAGAGACCTAATTATAGGAAAGGAAATACAAATGAGAAAAAACACACTAATTAAACATCTTTTTCTCTACCAGTGACAAAGGACCTCCATTTTTTATTACTTTTGTTGCCAAACTAAATGCATCAAAACTTTTATAAGATGTTGCTTTCCTCGAACAGAACAAACAAGACCACAAAAACCCTCTTCAGTTTGCTAAAAAAATAACTGGGCAATAATTATTTTAGCACAGGAGAAGACTCATCATGAGAAAGTAAGCTAAACAATATATAAAATAGGATAATATTTCTCTATTTATATTACACTTGCTATTTTCTTGCACTAAAACAACCATAAAATGGAAACGTGGATGTTTCTTTTTTGTCTTTGCATACGTCCTATAATATCATCATTCCCTGTAATGAAATAAAAATAATAATTAGCATTAGATATTATGTGCTTTTACTAAGGTAAAGTAGAGCTCAACATAAAAACTTGATTGTTTCAAACTTCCACCCATCTGCCCACGTAATTTTTAGCTGAAGCTTCAGAAAACTGAAATTAGCATTACGTGAGGTCTTTTTAGACACAAATGTAGAGCTCTTTTAAAATACAGTTTTAAAATCCATCTTTAGCAGATTTTTTAAAAGAACAATACACCTATCTAAAAAAAAACTGCTATTACAATTAATTTATTTTACTTATTTAGCATGTGGTAATTACAATTAATATACACCAAGAAATAAAAGCTAGATTCTTCTAGCATTTTGTCACTGAGCCCATCCCAAATTAATGTGTGACAGGTTTTCTGCTGTTTCTGCTATCCAGGAGATTATCTTGTGGCCATATTTTCTCCTGTTTGTATTGCAAGACAAGTGCCATTTCTCCTACTCCTATATCCTTTTTGAGATCTCAATGGGGTACTTTTGAGTGCTATTGGCTTGTTGCCAATGTCACCGCTTGCTCTCAGCTCTTATTGATTGCTCCCTTCTGCTTCAACCCGTGGCCAACTAACAGACTGCCCACTGGTGAGTGAAAGAGCTCTCTCACTGTTCCCTGCAAACCCTTCATTCTGCCTATGACCAGGCATTTGGGCTGCTTTTTTGGACAAGAGGGCTTATCAATCAGAAGGTTGGCAGTATGAGACCCAAGTACCATGTGACAGGGTGAGCTCCCATCCTTGGCCCATCTCCTGCCACCCTAGCAGTTCTAAAGCATGCAAGTAGATAAATAGATACCACTTTGGTGGGAAGGTAATAGCGTTCTGTGCACCTTGGCACATAGTCATGCTGGCCACATGACCATGGAAAAGTTTTCAGATAATGCTGGCTCCCTCGGCTAAGAAACAGAGATGAGAACCACTCCCCAGAATCAGACATGACTGGACAAGGGAAGCCTTTACCTTCACCTCACCTTGAACAAAGGTTTAGCATGAGCTGGCTGGTTACACACAAGGTAGAGAAACACAGGAGGAAGTGAGTGAGAACTCTTGGGAGAATGTCTCCTGCTTCAGCCTGCACCCCTCTGCCATATGTACTTTTGTCAAAGAGTCCACATTTTTATTTAGTAGCCTTTCGGGAGAATATTAGATGTATGTTTAAACCAGTCTTCTTAAACCAGTGGTTCTCAACCTTTCTAATGTCGTGACCCCATAATACAGTTCCCCATGTTGTGGTGACCCCCAACCACTTATACATCACTGGGTGCCAGGGGCGTGGCCAAAGAAAAGGGGGAAAAATGGCGGACAGCCTTGTTTGGCGACCCCCGTGAAATGGTCATTCGACCCCAAATGGGGTCCCGACCCACAGGTTGAGAACCACTGTCTTAAACCATTTATTCGCCAAAGCACAAGAAATAACAGGTGCAAGATCATTAAAGAGAGAGCCAACCTAAGCATAAGGAGAAACGACAGTGAGAGAACAATAAATCAATGGAACACTTACCTCTGGAACTTGTGGGTGCTTCATCACTGGCGGTTTTCAAGAAGATACTGGACAGTCATTTGTCCAGAATGATGTAAGCTCTTCTGTTGGTCTCTTGCAATCCTATTGTTCTGTTTTACATTCTTAGCAGACAGCTACTGTAAGGTTCTTTCTAGCATTTTTATATTCTATTGTTTCTGCTGATGAGTTTTTTTTTCTGTTGCTGTTTGCATATTTTAAATTGGTGGGTATTTATAATCTGCCCCCCAAACCTCTTCCTGAAAGCAATATATAATGCAAATAGCAGCAAGTAACTAAAGCAAGCCGCACGCCTGAATGCATCCATTATAGAACAATACCTAGATAAAATGGGAAAGGTGGGATTGGCTTTGGAATGCACTTGAGCTGTCAATCAATCAGTCTGAAATACTTTGCATATTCAGTATTATCTTTTCACTGTTTGACAGAAATAAGAGGCGTTGGAAAAATATTCAATCTAATCCCCAGAAAAATGTATTTTTAATGTAGTTTTTATTATAGAACTATCACAGGAATTTGAAAAGTGACCCTACCCCTGGTCCGCTCCACTTCCAAATGGAATCTAGCTGGTTTTCATATATATATATTTCTTTCTTTTTTCCCTGGAATTAACCTGGATTTGAAAACAATCTCTAATAGATATTTTAAAATAGCTTGGGAAAAAGGTGATTTAAAATTTATATCTGACACTATTGTGGTATTTACATAACACATTGACCCACAATTGACAAATGGCATTTGAAAGTTCTATAAAACTAGCCTGTACACTCACTTTATAATGAATTGTGGAATTCCAGCAATTGAAACCAATAAAGTTGAGCATCTCAACTTTAGTAATTTTGAGTGGTGTGGAATTTCATGCTCTCTGAGGGATTCTGGGAGTTGAAGTCCACGCATCTCAACATTGCTAAGGTTGAGAAACCTTGGCCTACAGAATTTCACTTCGATAATAAATAACTAAATGCTTTCACTGTGTAATTCTGCACCAACTTAAACAGTGCATAGTACAAATGCTTCTGATTAAGGATCGGAAGCCACATCAATCTTATGAAGAGAATGGAGAACAGATCTGCCGGGTTCAAACATGTGATGAGAATAGCAGAGAATGTAGCCCAAAGACGAGTTCTCCGTTTATCTCTAATCCTTATGCAAGCCTCTGCTTCCTTCACAACAGCTGAAGGTTTTTCTTTCCCACATTCACTTTTGGCACAAAATAATAATCAAATGTGTTTAGTACAATCTCATAGTGATTATCTCCAAAGAGAAGGGTGTAAAAACATATGCTGGCAATCTGCTCCAAAGCAGTGAATAAAACTGTATGCATTTTTCAAAGTCTGGTTTTTTTTCCCCCAGATGGACAGTTTCCAGTCGGACTAATCAAAATAAATTTTCTTCCAAGCAGATTTTATGTGGTAACCAAAAAAAAAAAAAAAGAATGGAAGAAGCAGTGGGAACATATAGAAGGAATAAAAATTGAAGATGGTCTCACTTTGATCTCCCTTAAGATGTCAGGAATGATGGAAGCTAATTGCACACTCATAGACACACACATGGGAAGGGGGGCACAAAGCCTAGCCTGGACGCATCTTTAATTTAGAGAAATCTGTATGAAATTAATTCTCAGACATTCATATCCAGAAGGCAGGAGTCGAGGCTTGGAAAGACAAAAATAGGGCAGATCCATGCTGCTCCTACCTGCTCATTATTTGTTTATAAATCACCTAATCAAAGAAGAATATGTGCTTTATTATCTCTGTTTTAAAGAAAATACATAAAGAAAATAGGCAGTTTCAAAGAAAAATGTTCTGTATTTGTTAGGAAATTGGCAAGTCAGATTTTTTGTGCCATTGTCTGCCCAAGTACATTCTATGGCATTTATACATGCTTCTGTGGCTGCATCCTTTTATCTGAAAATGTTTGACTATATTCGATGTAAGCATTTGAGGGCAGGAATGGAATGGTGTTCATTTTGGACTTGTTGGTGAGCCTGTAGCTTTTCAGAGAGTTGAGAGAAACATGGTGATTTCTTAATACTTTCTGCACCTCCCACTTTCCTGTGAAAGCTATAGAACCTGTGGGCAGATGAAACCTAGGTGGCACCAGTTGTATACAGTAAAAGGACAGCTGGTTATCCCCTCCATACTTCACTTGGCCTCAGCACTTGCTGCTATTTGAGTTCCCAAAGGTTCTGCTCTGGGATGGACACACCCCCTTTCTCAGCCAGAAATAAATGTCTGATGTAACATGGATTAGAAGCTTGGTATCCCAGCTGGGCAAGATCAAAAAAGGCACAAGAGCAAGACTTGCAACAGCTGGAAAGCATTGGCTTGGAAAATTTCTTGGGTGAGAAAAAGGATTGAGAAAACTCACACAGGGCTCTAATCCTCACCTGGGAAGCACTCGGTCTGTCAAGGCTCTACGGTGGTCTGAATAAAAGCCTGAGCAGGTAGGGAGAACTTTTGTATCTTGCTTTGCAAGGCATTTATTTGTGGTGCGGCTGCTATGAGAAAACCGTGGAAGATTATGCCAGTCATTTGGAATACCAGTTTTATTTAGTACACATATTATTGAGGATTAAACAACCCAACAGGTGTGTCTCTCAGGGGGAATGGAGAAAGTCTTACAGAGGTTAAGAGTAGATCTTTAACAATTTAAGGAATTTCAACAGCCAGTGCTGGGAACAAGACTGGCTTTATCACAGTACATGAATGCGAAGGCTGATCCAAAGCCTGCAGATGTATTACATTTGCTTTTCCATGCCAAGGGTTGACCCTTTGTATGCAGAATTGTCCTCTGGCAAAACTTTGATCTGAGTCTGGGAATGTCAAATTGCCTGGCTCTAAGAATGTAAGACTCAGCATTAGAAAAGGGCTGCTAGGAAATCACCTGGAACATGGAAGCAGGAGCAGGTGAGATTGAGAAATTGTGCCTGCTGGGACACCTTGATAGAAAGCCCATTGATAAACACATATAATGTCCAAAAGAGCAGATGAGTATATATTAGGATTCCCTAAGTTCATCTAAAACTGATGGTTTCTTCAGTTTACTAAAGAAAGAAAGGAAAAACAAAACTCAGCTCAGTTTTGTCTGCAGTTCTGTCCATTTTCCCAGAAGACTTCTCCCAGGTAGTTATATAGATACATATATATATGGTTGAAGTCTTAACCGTCTTTTCTGACTCCAGCACTAAATTACTTCAGTTGCTATTGGAAGAATATTGCACGCCTCCCCCCCCCCCCCAGAGCAGCAGAAGAGGAAGTGTCTGCTCTTGAACCAAGCTGATGGTCGTTTGAAACCATGAAGTACATTGTTCGCTTCACTCAGAAATACCTGCTTAGGCAACTAAAGACTAAAACATTTTCTAGTTTCTTAACTTTCCTGCAAGTACACCTGTACAGGTTTTTGTGGCAACGAGACACACATAGACTGACCAAAATCTTGCCTAATTATGCACTGTTTGATTTCCATAAAAATATACCAGACATTCTAACTCTTAAGTAATGATAAAAAAAACCTGGCTTCATTAATCCAAGCAAGAAATGTGTGGCTTGAAGCAGAACATGCTAGAGTGACACTATACTCCCAAAATTAGGGATCTTGCGAGACAAACAAATATTCTTCCAACCAACCGATGCATCCATTTTTTATTTGTTTAAAATGGGTTCATAGATTTAGATAGATATAACATAAATTCAAGGACTTTTGTTCCTTACTTTCTACCAGAAAATGGTTCAAATATTCATATGAGATAAAAATTAAATATTTATTCATATATAAAATTTAGAAACCACCCATCTGATAATAATATGAGATAAATAAAGAAGAAGAGTGGAACAAGTGGAGAAAAAGAATTTTTGTATCTGGGGAGATAATAAACAGTTCTGCACAACGACAAATGCCAATTCTTCCTAAATTTTGACATGCAGGTTAGTGAGCATAAGTGGCATAAATTCAGGCTCAAAAACCTACACATAGAAATAAGCGCAAAATTTTTTTATCAGTCATTCTATAAGACCAAGAATAGGCACCCATGAGTGATATTTTAGATTAGGCTGATGGCATGTTTGAAAGTGATAGGAGCTGAGGTGGGTAGATAGATAGATAGATAGATAGATAGATAGATAGATAGATAGATAGATAGATAGATAGATAGATAGATAGATAGATAGATAGATAGATAGATTTTTCAATCCTTGAAAAATCAACTTTTCTCAAGTTCAGTTACAGTTACTCTTAATCTCCTGATTCTGGAGTTTTTGTGACTTTAGAACTCTGTGAGTTCTGAAATTGTTGCCTACATCCTTCACAATCTAAGGTCAGGAGTGCATCTCCAGTATTCTCAGGTCACCAGCTAAATATAGTGCTGGAAGATTTAAGGAAGGCTTTTGTGGGCAGAAAAAGACATGGAGTCCCATATGAAACCTTTTGCCAAGAGATGTAGCTCTGCCTGATAGAACTGCCCCATTCGAAAAGCTTAACCTTCAGCTTATGTTTTGACAACAAGTATCTTTGTTTACAGCTGAAGGTCCTCATCACAAGTTCTGTTCTTATCTGAGGAAGAACCTATGGATGTAAGACAGTTATTACTGAATGTTCATTGCAGTTCTAGAAGAAAGAAGTTATTCTAGCAATTTACTATCAATCAGTGGATAACTATAAGTCCACGTCAATCTTTTCCCCTCTGGCTAATACTAATAGCTCAGCTGACTTCAAAACATTCCATTCTCACAAAGACGATTTTGGATTTTCCAAATTACAGATGAAATATACATGATTCAGAACTTTTGTTTTAAATTCAGGAGAAAATCTGGCCAGTTCAGCCACAAGTATCAAGGACTCTGACCATTCCATGGGTGGGATTAAGCTGGTATTTGTATGGCTTGTGACAGGATGGCTTTACTTCACATTTTCTTCAGTGAGCTTTGCAGAATGGATTTGGTTCATTGGCTTTAGAACCTGGAGTTTTCCTATATGTTTGTTAAATGCTATATGTTTCATGCTATTAGCTTTTTTTTTTTTTTTTTTATAAAGAGCTGCCAGCCTTAATTGTCCTGAAGACTTTGGGCAGAATGGAAAAGAAAGAGAGAGAGAGAGAATAATACAATTTGGCTCAGGAATTCTACATATTCTCTGTGTGCAAAACCTGCTTTTACTAAGTTGTTCTAACAGGCAATTAAGATGTAATTGAAATAAGTGAAGAAATGTTAATTAACATCTTTGCCTTATGTTACTATCTTGGCTGAGCACCAGGAAGGGGTGTTAGTTAATGAATTATACTCTATATATTGAAAATCCAGAGTAGGAAGCAGATTTTTCTGATAAGATTTAATCAGTAAATATAATGAAATATTTTGCATATTATTTCACCACAATGCTTCATCCGTAATTCAGTTAACATTACTGGAGCCTTGCCATTACTTGCAGTTAAGGAACCCTCCACATACAAATTGAATTGAAAAGTCAAAGAAAGCTGAAAGCTTCTGAAATGTCAACTGGATTTATTTTAAAGAAAATATATTTAGAATGGGAAAACTGATTAAAACAGAGGCCCCCAACCTTTTGAGCACCAGGGCCCAGTTCCACGGAGAAATTTTTTTCCACGGACCAGAGGGGGCATGGTTTTGTGTGCTGCCTGCATCCAGTGAATGGGGCTTCACTTATTTGCACGGCCCAGTTGCCGGCATGCCACAGACTGGTGCTGGTCCACAGACCAGGGGTTGGGGAACCCTGGATTAAAATATACAATTATTTCTTTTTAAGTAGATATTTTATGGGATTACAGCCAGTTTGGGACAGTGGGAAAGGCACCAAATTAGAAGACAGTAAGTTTGAATCCCACTTAGGCATGATTTGGGATTAGTTATTCTGTCTTAGTCCTAGGAAGAAGGTAAAGGCAAATCACTTCCAAAAGCCTGCCAAGGAAATTACATGGATTTGTCCAGGTAATCATCAGCAGTCAAGACTGACTCAATGGCACCAAAACAAGTAAAAGCCCAACCATACTGGATAAAGACCTATGTCTTTTCAGTGTCTCCCAATATTTTATTCCTGATGCCTCTGTTACTAAATCCACTGTAAGAGTATTCTGAAGCTGGACAATCATTAGCATATCTAACAACTTATTTCAGCCTGGCTTCTCTGATACTTCCCTTTCAACACATCACCAGTAATGATGGCTGCCCTTTTTCAGGTTCTTTCAGATGACAATCCTTGCCACCTTCTAATTCTTCTGATTCCTTTTCAGACTGAAGTTCTGGTGCTTTATGAATGCTTCAGGAAATAGATATGTTATGGGCATGAACATACTGTTCACCATAACTATGGCATTATCCCACAAAAGAAAAGAAACTCAATGTTTATCCCTGGAGGCTCTGAAGCACCACTGTGTGCCTTTGAATCTGCATAGATCTAATGCCTTTGTGCGTATAGAGCTCATGGAGAAACAACAGACAATTGGCATTTGCCTTTTCTGGAGAATAGTTGTGAAACTGAGAACTATTAGCCAAACACCCAAGACAGGACAAGACAGGACAGGGCAGGATTACTTTATTGTGTATTATATCATATATATAATTTTAAAAGAGATTAAATTGTTGGCATCTTTTTTTCCTATTTTACTTGTATTTCCTCAGAGTTGGGGGTGACATTTGCAAAAACTGATGATTTTTCATGGATTCTAAGTCTTGTGGATTTTGAGAACCTGAACAGGGTTCTTGACGCCTCAGTCTTGCCACTTGTGGGTTGAAAACTGTCCCTCCTGGCAGCCATGATGAAGTGAGGACCCCACCATGTTAGACCATTTCTGCCTAGTGTTAAACCTTCCCTTCTTGGAGAAGATTTCATAGAAGGTTATGGGGTTTCAGCTACTAAAGACCTTGGAAACAGCTGATTATCTGGTTCCCTTGATTCAAGATTCAGAAAGCATGGGATGAAAATAATAGTTGCTCTAGTACAGGCATGTCAAACTCACGATGTTACGTGACGTCACACGACGTATCGCAACTTTCCCCCCATTTCTGGCAATGGGGTGGGCGCGGTTTCAGTATGATGCATCCGGCCCATGGGCCAGCAGTTTGACATATCTGCTCTAGTAGATGACATCTATTGTATTGAAAAATATTAAAAACTGTATTGTTCCAAAAGACCTTGGGTGGTTTAATGTTGTCTTCCTTGGCTCATTCTTAATTGTGTGGGTTTTTCTTTTGTTATGTGTGATAAATGTATTGAAGAGGATTATAATTGTTTTAATGTTTTATGAGATTAGAGTTTTTAAAATACTTACTGTGGATAATTTAAGGTTGTAATGCTGATGTTATTTTAGACTTACTTTGGATGTTTGTTTTAGTGTTGTTATGTTTGTTATACCATGAATCTTTTAATCCTGCTATAAGCCATCCTGACAGAGTTGGTGGCATATCAGCTTAAAATCAATCAATCAATCAATCAACCCAGGCCTGCTGCACACAGTTGAACCTTTACATGAGGCAACTGAGAAAGGTCATTCATCAGTTTGCAGTTGACATTTGCCCAGCAACCATATGGTGGTTATATGGCTACTCTGCTATTTTTGGTGTACTCTGTTTATAACAGCGGGTCTTCAATTTGTAAGGCCTCTTGGATTTGCAATTCCACTTAGATCAGAACAGTGACCAAAACTGTGGTCAGTTTTGTTGGTGCATAGATACAGCCCTTTGGGGAGTGGAAGTTACTCTACAGCAGTTACATGTCCTCATCACTTATATCTAGGGCTACCATTTGAAGATCACCCACATACTGAAATGGATGCAAAATGCAGACTCTACGCAGTTAAAGATGCTGAGCTTGTCAGCATCTGGACAGCTGATAGCTGGGTTTGAGATTGGAATGCTGCACAATAGGGTGAGCTCCTATTACTTGTCCCAGTTTCTGCCCACCTAGCAGTTCGAAAGCATGCAAATGTGAGTAGATTAATAGGCACCACTTCAGTGGAAAATTAACAGTGTTTCATGCGTCTTTGGAGTATAGCCATGTTGGCCATAAGACTGTGGGAAATGTCTTCAGACAATGCTGGCTCCCTCGGCCAAGAAACGGAGATAAGCACCACGCCCTAGAGTCGGACATGACTGCATAGGGAAACCTTTACCTTTATCTGCAACACTGCAACACACAAGTTCAGCAATGTTGGATCTATTTTGCTAGTTCTGCAGTGGCTTTGAATAGTGTCCAAGTATAACTCAATGTATCAGTCTGAAACTATAAAGGCCATCTCCTCAAATTTGACTCTGGCTGATCTGGCTGTTCTACTCATGAGGCTGCTGTGCTACCCTCCCTTTGGGAGGTAGAGGTAAAGACCTAACAATTGATTTCTATAATCCATAATCCACATATTAATTTTAGTTGATTTTCTCTTTTCCCAAAATATCCTCTTTTGCAAACATTGAGTTAATACAATTCTTATTATTTTGATAGATAACAATTAAATATATAATTTTTTCCCAATAGTCTTAAAAATAATAATCATATCAATATAATATTTCTTTTCTATCCAAGCATTCTGGTTGCCTTATCATAGATCCTGTTACAGTTCTTATTTTAATTTGTTTCTCCCACCAAATTCTAGATATTCTTACTGGTCAAGATTTTCTCAAAAATTAATTACATTTAAGAATTTAACTCTATTTTTCCATATAAACTATCTCACACCTTTACATTTCTTAAGGAATAGATAAAACAGTAGAAAAAAGAAACAAAAGCAAGAGTAAAGAAGCATAAAAAATAACATACTTAAAATATATATCCCTCCTAAGCTAATATGTATTTATTTCCTAAATTTCTTATTCTTTTTAACCATAATTAAAAATATGTTTAATCTTTAATCATTCCATTTAATACATCTAGTCATCTAGTCCTTTAACTCTTATTCAAAACATTTTTATCCATTATAATTTTCTTAAATTCAATCACATTTAAATATCTAAAACATTTCCTTTATCTAAGTCATTTCAACTTTTTTATATTACTCATATCAAAAAAGAAAACAAAAAAGGGAAAAAGCATATTTAGAGAATTCATCCCTCTTAGAGTACATATATATTCCAAAACTTTTCTATTTCTTTAACCATATTCAAACAAATGTTTCTTTTTTAAGTATTCTCTCTGGTAAGTCCCATCATCTATTTTCTTAGTTTCCATTTTAGTCTTTTTCTTTTGCCCAGTGTCTTTCTTAATCAACGTATTTTGCTGAATCAAAAGGTTTTTCCATACGTTTATAAATGTTGCTGTAGATATAAAAAAGTAAATCAGAAGAAGTTTCTTTGTACAGGACTTCTGCCTTTCCATGTTTTTTGAAAATCTTTTTCTTTTTCTTTCTCTCCACTTCTCTTATCATTTCCTTTCTCTCCGATGTTCCTGACACCTCTACAGTCCATTTTATCCAATCTGTTTTCTTGTCCTCAGATTTATTTTGTAGTCTTAAGGGATAAGTTGTTTTTTCCAATTCTTGTGAATTTTTTCCCACTAGGATTAAATTATGTTTCCTTGTTTTACTAAGTTCTATCTTTAAGTCTCTATTCTCAATTCTATATCCATTTATCTGTTTTGTCTGCTCCTTCTCTGTTGTTGTTTTCTGGGAATATTTTTGTTGTAGAGTTAACTTGGAAATAGATTGATTTATATTTTCAAAGTTGTTTTGGATTTCTTTGTGGTTTAAAGTCATTGTTGTTTGAATTAGTTGCAGTATACTATATATACTCCTGTGACGTATTTATGTTTTCTTGATATGTTCTTTCTACAAGTGTCTGATCCATGATAGCCAAGAAATTGAGTTTTCCTCTTCCTTTCTTTTCTCTGCAAATAGCTTTAGAGTCCCAATTAGATAGATATTTGTATTCCAAATAGTTCAAAAACGATTTTCCCCCTGAAATTTATAATTCTCTCTTTGTCTACAGCCCAGATTATTGTCTTTTTTGAGTCACAGCTGTTCTTTGTTGTTAAAGCTTTGAAGGTCACAGACACAGATTAGTTTTTCCCAGATTTTCCCAAGTCTTATATGAAAGTCATAGCTTTCATAGTCTTCATCTGCCACTAGGTGTCAGCAACTATTTTTCAATTTTCAAAATGAACAATTATCTTTAAAATGAGAGTATTAACCATTCAAACAATATTAGATTTATCCAGATTTGAGTTTTAAGTTTCAGGTTTTATATTTATTTTACTTCCATATATATTGATCCTCCATAAAAAGATTAATTCGTCACTTCCATTAGTATAAGGGTGGGGCGGAAATCCCCCTCCTTCCCTTTCAGAGGTATTTTGCTTCTTGGGGATCTTTTACAGGAAATTAAATGTAAAATAGAAAAGAGAAGATCGAATTCCTCACCCAGTTTCAAGTACGCTGTTTACTGTTGTGCTGGTTAGTGCTTTTGGACTTCAGTTGCTAGTAGCTTGGGCTGGTCGATGCAATATGGCCAGCCTTTCTCCTGTTGGGTTAAAAGGCTTTCCCCAAGTTGAACAGAATGGCTGCTGCCGTTCCAGAATCACTAGAGCACCCTTCTTTCTTTGTTGCCTCTCCGGGGCGACTTAGACCCATTTAGGGTCCCCTGGCAGGGCAAAATTAGCCCTGGGTGTGTAGACAATCCGCAAGCCCATGACCAGTTGCTACTGTGTAAAACTGGAAGTCCCTCGGTGCTTACTGATCTTATTTGATTTGCAAACTGCCTAGAGAAGGGCTCTTATGGTAATATCAAAATCGTGGGGAAAATTAAAAATGAATCCCTCTATTTTGTCTCCCTGTTGGCATAACAGCTACGGTAATTCCACAGCCCTGGCAACAGGCTGCTGCCATAGGAGTATCCCAGAAGCTGGAAGACAAGGAAAGCCACTTCAATAAGACCTTCCTTGGAATGCAAGGCAGCATTATGCTGCTACTTCTCTCTTAACAGTCTCAGCTTGAAATAGAGTATCTTTATGGATGAATATGATGCTATTGACACAAGAACAATCCAGGAACTATCACAATTGTAACAATCCAGTTGTTTGTATTATATCATGAGCAGTGGGCTCATCTTGGTCCCTTGCCTCTCCATTTGAAATTTGAAAATGTCAATTGTCAAAATCCATCACTTTTTTATTATTGTTCAGCTTTCCAAAGGTTCTGTACTTGGATTCCAACTCTGTTTTTCATTTGACAATGATATTCTCATTTATAAACTTTAAAAATGTGGTTTGCATGGAATTATAGTAAAATGTGCCTATGACTGGCTGGCTAATTGCAGTAAAAGAATCCGCACTAATGGTTCTGTATTAGGCTGGGTGGTGTTAAACAGTGGGTCCTGCAGAGATTTGTCTTTTGCCCAGTATCATTCAACATTTGGATTTATTAGCTGCATAATGGAGTTGATGGACTACTTATCAAATGTGCAGATGACACAGAGTTGAGAGGTATGATGATCGAATGAGATTGCTATCTATCTGGGGCGGCTGGAAGAAGTTGAGAAGTGGATGTCTTTCAATAAGGAGAAATGTAAAGTATTATCTTTAAGGAGCAAAGAATGTAGCTCATTTTTCAAGATGGTTTAGAAACATGACATTGGCAATGATCACTAAGAGCAGTTAGCAGGACTAATTAAATTCTGAGCTGTATTAGGTCAAATAGTGTACCAAAGACATGCAAAATCCTTATTTCCATCTAGGCACTATTTGTATCTTTTCCGAGTAGAATTAGTTTACTGGCAAGCTTTATTTATCAGATTTCTATACCCAGGGCTTTTTTTTTGTCATAGAACGCACCAGAACAGAGTTCCAGCACCTTTTTTCGATGGATTTTCCAGAGTTGCCTTGAACAAAATCCTACTCTTTTAGATACACTAAAAATTAAAGGGTTTTTTTTTTTCAAATACAAAGGTAAACCTTGTTTGGTAGGCAAGACTATGATGTGTGTGAGTTCCAGCACTTTTTTTTTTTTTTTTTACAAAAAAAGCACTGTTATACCTATTTGTATTTCTACTTTTGCTGACAAGCTTTAGCACTGGAAACAAATGCAGGCAACAGAAAAGTAGCTGGGTGTGCAAAGACTGATCAAATCTTGCTTTTCTTCTTGCTTTTCTTGCAGCTGAAAATATGTTTCCCCTTCCACGCTTGAACTTCAAAAGCGAGCAGTATGAACCAATTCAAGCCATTGTGAAAGCGATTCACGGAGAAGAGGGTAAAGCAACTTTGACTGCCATCATTTTCCAGATTATTCCTAGATAATAGGCTTCCCTGGCGTTTTAGATCGCTGCAGGCCCTTAGAAAGCTGACAATGTGAATGACACAGATGAAAGTGTGAAGGTTTCAGATCCTAACATAGAATGGAAGAAGCAGGCCTTTTGAGAATGTACCTGCTTATGAATGTACTCTACTCAGTAGAATGTGTTGTGAAATTTGGGCAATTGCTAATTAATGCCCACCTTCAATAGACCCAAGGATGGCCTAATTGCAGATGTTCAGAGATACTCTTGTAAAAGGCAGCTGGTAAGAGAGATTTGCACTCACCAGTGACAAACATTTAGGGAGAATCTTCCCTTGCTTGTCATGGTTCTGCCTTAGCCAATATACATCTGGTTGAGATAAATTTGTCTACACTAGAGTGTGCCTGCAAAGCCGTTCCTGCCCATAATATGTCCTTTCTCTGTCAACATGGAGTATCAGCCAGATATTCAGGAAAATTGGTATATCTGATACCAATCAGCCTTTACAGGTAGTCTTCAATTTATGACCACAATTGAGCCCAAAATTTCTGTTGCTAAATGAAACATTTGTTAAACGAGTTTTGCCCCATTTTATGACCTTTCTTGCCACAATTGTTAACTGAATCACTGCCGTGTTTAAATAACTAACACGGTCGTTAAGTGAATCTGGCTTCCCCACTGCCTTTGCTTGTCAGAAGGTCGCAAAAGGGCATCATAAGACACCCCCCCCCTCAGGACATTGCAACCGTCATAAATATAAATCAGTTACCAAGCATCCAAATTTTGATCATGTGACCATGGGGATGCTGCAACGGTCGTAAGAGTGAAAAACAGTCATTAGTCACTTTTTTTCAGTGCCGTTTGAACAGTCACTAAATGAATTGTTGTAAGTCGAAGACTACTTGTATTGTGCAAAGCCTATTGCTAGGAAAGCCTTAAGGAATATTTGTTCTTGTGCCATCAGAGATGTGCCCATGTGTTGTTGTTTTTTTAAATTGATCACATCCTCAGCTACAAAAAACAAGGATCCTTCTAGGGAACAAACATACAGTGAACAACAAGGAAACGTGCAGAGAATTATGCTGAATATTTCTTGTTGCAAAAACTTCCATCCCTAGTTATAGTAGGGCTAATTCCTATACAGACTGTAACCTATTAAGCATTCTTGATTACAGTCTTTTTGATTAAATGTGCAGAGAATGGCAAAGGGTGAAACAAATGCATCCCTATTAGAAAAGAAGAAATAGGGGTGACATGATAGCAGTATTCCAGTGTTTGAAGGGCTGCCACAAAGAAGAGGGGGTCAAACTATTCTCCAAAGCATCAGTTGGAAACTGATCAAAGAAAGAATCAGTTTGGAATTAAGGAGGAACTTCCTAACAGTGAGGACAGTTAACCAGTGAAACAGCCTGCCTCCAGAAATCGCGGGTGATCCATCACTGGAGGTTTTTAAGAAGACTGGATAGCCACTTATCTGAGATGGTATAGGTTCTCCTGCTTAAGCAGGGGGCTGGACTAGAAGACCTCTATTTTATTCTATTCTATTCTATTCTATTCTATTCTATTCTATTCTATTCTATTCTATTCTATATATATTGCTTTGTGTCTTCAGCTCCAGCGTTAGACTTGGGAAAGAAGGTTAGCACTCCTCAAGATCTGATGATGGAGGAGTTGTCCCTGTCCGTAAACAGGGGATCGAGACTGTATCAACAAAGGCAGAAGAGAGTGCAGCGTTTTGTGCTGGAGAATCCTACAGGCCACAGAGTTGTAAGTCATATTAGAGTCCTAGGAAAAAATTCTTAACGAGATGTCAGTTGGGAACAAAAACAGGAAGTGGCAAAGCAGGTGTCCCACTCAAAGCTGATCAAATCAACATTTATTTTCACTTCTGATGGAGTAATTTAATCTTGTTTCTAAATACAAGAGCCTGGATCTTTCCCATCTTGAAGCAGCTGGGATAGACTTGTAAGTGGCAGACCAATGCAAACCATAGTCATTGCTTGGCTTGAAGCATAGGTCTCGGGGTTAGGTTTAATTACTTGATAGATTACTAGGTTAGAGTAAATCCATTTAGATAGGAGTAGAAACTCCTTGAGAAATTCTTCTGGCATAAAGAACTGTAATTAAGCTTAAATTACTAGCTACTGATTAATTATCTATCCATCTACTGTATCCCTCTGCATACAAATAATATGCATGGAAGAAATTATTCCGTCTCCCATATAGTTTACTAAACTAATATCAATTTAATGTTACGGGAATGCCCACAGACCTCCGTAGACCTTAGATGTCTGCACTATACATTCTACTAGTTTGCAAGCTTCAATATATTTAATTGACAAGCTTTTATTCAGATTATTAGCAAACCCATGTATGCTTTCTGGTTTCAGGTCTTCTCTCTGGTTCTTCCTGTTCAAATACGATATTCTTTGCTTTCTCTTTCTAGGCCTCAAGCACGACAAGTGGAGGTTCACACCCAGAATACAATGGAGTGGAAACAACCAAAGGATGGAAGGTATGCTTAGTTACTTGATCAGAATCTGGGAGAGTGTCATATAGTTGGCCTGGAGTTTAGTGGCTTAAGAGTTTCCCTCTGTGGGAGTGCTCTTTTTGCCTGGATGCCATTTTTGGTTAAAACTAATGAGTTTGAATGATCTTTCCAAGTTAATATTTCAGTATTAATGGAAATAAGGTAATCATGTGTAAATGTATGCATTAGAACATACCTGAAGCAAAATCCAATTTCACACCAGAGTATACTTGCATACACAGCCTAACACTTCCAGCCTTGCCCCAGATTTGTTCTGATGCATCAGTCAGGAGCAAATTTCATTAGCAAAAGGAACTAATTGTCTATATTCCTATCATCCCTTTTCCAAATTTCCTTTCTTTTAGTTGTCTTCATAAAAATAAATGTAACATGCTAAATTCAGTACTGCCAGGGTGAAAATTCTGCCGAACTCAACAACTATTTGTAGCTTTCTTCTAATAGAGTCAAACCTCGTAGGCCAGGGGTTTCAAACTGTTGGCCCGCCAGCCAGTTGCATCATATGGAGGCCGCGCCCATCCCAGCTCCAACAATGCAAAAAAAGTCAAGATATGTTGTGACACGTCATGTGACATGGCGAGTTTGACATCCGTGTCTTAGGCTATGCTCTATATTTGTCCAAAATGGTATAGGGTTTCCTGTCTGAGCAGGGGGTTGGACTAGATGACCTCCAAGGTCCCTTCCAACATTATTATTATCATCATCATCATCATCATCATCATCATCATTATTTCCTTTTCCCATGGAATCCTGGCAACTATGGTGACAGAGCTTTCTAAGGCTACGCTGATCACTGGGGTGGGGTGAGGATGGTGGCTGCAAAAAAAATGGTGCCACATGACTCCTCTTGCTATTGATAGGTTTAGTAAGGAGTTTTGGCAATTTTCCCTTTTAATAAACTGATATATTTCAGGGTTTTTGTGACAGTTGTCACAAAATAGCAGGATCCTTTGATTTCACCAACTGCAGTCAGAAAGGACTTAAAGAGACATCAAAAAGGGCTTCAGATTGTCCACTCCTGTAAGGTGGAATGATTACCAGACTACAGTGCACCAGAAGACTCTTTGAAGGAAGCTATTATGGTATTGCCTGACCTACTTCATAGATGAATCTCCTCTATTGCAAATTCTATCAATAGCATTTTTAGGCATCTTCCCCATTGGTAGTAATCCAAGTTAGTTCAAAAATTTGTAATCACTTAGACAGCATTCTCACCAGGCATTCAAGTCATATGCTCATATATAGTGTGATACACTAAATGTTTAAGTTACAGTAATTACCGTATGTCTCTATTTGCATATGTCTATATACTTGAGCATATGCACATTTTATACAAATTGGTGTCTTTTTTAAATCATACTGTTTGCTATTTTGGAAATGTGCAAGTGATCACTTTAGAAACCATGATAGATAGATAGATAGATAGATAGATAGATAGATAGATAGATAGATAGATAGATAGATAGATAGATAGATAGATAGATAGATAGACAGACAGATATAGATATAGATATAGATATAGATATAGATATAGATATAGATATAGATATAGATATAGATATAGATATAGATCCTTTAACAATATTGTTTCCCTAGCAGGAAGTATGTGAAATTAGTCTTGTTGTTGTTGTTGTTGTTGTTATTTGCAAATCAAGTCAAATCTGGACAATGAGAAGAGAATAATAAACTGAATATTAACTGCTGATATTTTGGGGAAAATGTTTGTGTATTATGGCAATGGATGAAATTATCTTTCCACGTGGGGGAGAATGGTCTAAACACAGTTTTACTGATCACATTGCCTCAAAAAATCTTTTCTCTTACCTACATTTTTCCATTGCTTCTAGACAATCTAGTTCTAATTGGGTATTTTGACTAATAGAAAATATTTGCCACTTATGCTTACTCTCCTTTGTCTGCTAGTCTGCTCACTCCACAGAGGGCAAAGAGAACTATCAGAATGACATACATCTCATGGAGGTTTCTGGAAAGAGAGTGCCTCCCCAAGTACCACAAAAAACAGGCAAAGTCTTGAGGATGAGCAAAGCTCTGAACCCCAGTGCAATTGCTCCAGGTAAGAAGCTCTTTGCTACTCCAAGCCATCCCTAACATCAAAAAAAAAAGAGAGAGAGAGAGAGAGAGAAAGCTTGCTGGACTTGACTCATAGACTTCTTAGACTGAGGCAATACCCACACATTGCATTTGCTGACTTAGAATACTTAGACGTTGATTGTTTCTGTATGAAACCAAGTTGGAAAATGCTACACTAGTCCATCATAAACTTAAAAACAAAAGGATAAATTGTGAGTAGCAGTAGTGGAGGAAGGGGCATAAGTGTCCAAATAATCGTGAAAGGGCTCACGTGAAGTATATTTTTATATAATATTTTATTAGTTTTCTAATTTTACAATTAAACATTTAAAAAGCAACATGGTGGCTGGGTAGTCAATAATTCAATAACATACATAAATCTTTAGCACAAATCTCAAGTTACAACATCAAATATTTCCTCTCTTTTCCCCTTAGTATCTACTATCTCATATTGAGCTAATATAGTTTTTATTGTTATCAACTAAGTAAAATCATATTTGTTACATTTATCAATAGTTTTTAGCTTATACATATCTTAATTGTGCTTGCATTCAATCCTTATATACAATCAATGTCCTGTTATTGCTTTTTTCCCAGGCTTTAATTTCCCCTCAATATTCAAGTTAACATTTAGTATATTATAATTTACAAGCTTTAGGCAACCAGAGTTTCTCTTATCTCAACTTCTAAATTTTTCCCTTTTTATAACAAAATCTAAAATTCTAAATACACATCTTGTCTATTTGCATATAATCTTATTCTATTTTCTAAAGGTTATCTATTTTTCACCATATTAAACCAAAAGTCTATTAATTTTATTACAATCTTACCTATTCAATTATAATGTTACTTTAGTTTCTAAAAAATATCTATTTTCCACCATATTCAACCCACTAATCAATAGTATAAAATCCCCTCTACTAGATCAAAACCCTAATTTCTTTCAGCCTTACTCTCGCTTTTTTCCAACTAACCTTCCATGTCAGTACTTTTGCATCCTCAAGTAGTTCTCCCTCTATTATTATATGTATTATTTGAAATAAGAAAGACCATTTAATTACAGGGTTTTTTGGATGGACTAGCTCAATTGTATTCATTTAATCTCCTCCCTATTACTCCAATTTCCCACGTGAAGTATATTATCTTTACCTTATTGTTCATACTGATTATAGTACCATCATGGGGAGGTGTGTATTATTTACATTATGCGCTACTGTTTATTAGCAGCAAAGAGTGACTTACTTAAATGTGATCAGCCAGGAAAGACAACTGAGGGAACACATCCTTTTCTTAACAGTAGATAATTTGATGGGGAGTATAAAGAGTTGCCTGTGCTCAAAAACATAAAGACAGATTGGATAGTTCTTCATTTCCTTGACACTTTCATTTAATGTAGTTCTTGTTGTTGTTGAATAAGTAGGAAGGCAGGTTGATTTTGATGGAGAGAGATCCAATAACGTCCTTTTTATTTATTTTATACATACATACATACATACATACATACACACATAAACATATATCAACATTAAGACAGGAACATCTCAGGAGAAAGACGTAAGATGATGTGTTTCTCTTTCTCCCAATAAGGGCTACTGTAAACACCCCTAAAGTGCCCTTAAGTTTTCCTTATCATCTGTTCTTAAATGTCTCTATGATTATTGTCCCATCATAGAATTTCTTAGCATGATGAAGGGATACTACATTTCCAGCATTTATCTCAACAATACTGAAGTACATCCCTCATCATCCTCATAGTCCTGTCCTGATTCATCTCCAGTATAATCAGGGAGCATTTTAAAAATCAAAATGGAGCAGAGGATTGTCCATCCATAGTTGACACATCATGATTGCATTCAGTTAAAATAATCCAAATACCACAATCCCTTGGAGTACATATGGAAAACATAGATTAGGAAATTAAAGAGCAACTTTTTTTTAATAAAATCAAGCCTTATCTTTAACTGTAAAGAAGCCAAGGATTATTCTCCTTCTGATACATTTACCCATTGGAGACAATGAATGAAGGGCAGAAGTACAAAGGAATGACAGCCATTGACTACCTTTTGGTAGCAGTTGAGGGTGGACTCATAAATACATACTGTAGTGCCAAAGTACTCAAGAAACTGCAAACTGCAACAATTGTCATTGATAACAAGGTTGAAGGAGCACGAAACTGAAGAGGCATTCTAGAAGCAGGACATGTTGCTGATGAAGATTTCCTACAACTTGGAACCAACAAAACCTATTTTTCTCTATCACATGTGCTAGCTTTTTCCAGAAATAACCAATTTGAAACCCATCATTGAAGTTTTGGTGTCACATTAAATAAAACAGTTGTTTTATTGGACAATCCTTATTGCAGGCTATTCTGGACCACTTAAAGAAGTTCCACCAGAGAAATTTAACCGAACTGCAATCCCCAAAGGTTATCAATCTCCCTGGCGGGAATTCTTCTGCAATGCTGATTACCAGGTAGATGTAAAAAACCATTTGCCTGAGCCGAGAAAAGTGAATAATTTGGACCTTAGGAATTTCAATAGGTAAGAAGGCTTGTTCTGGGTTTTTTTTTTTTTTTTTTGCATAAACTCTATCGATGATAATCAGGTTGTTTACCCCTTTCCTATAAGACGTGATGTGCATATTTTCAAATATTAGTTCTTTAAATAATGGTAGAAAATATATATCCTTCCAGAAGCTGCTCACTTGCATGCTTCATTATGGACTACACTGTATGTTAAGGCTGCTATGGGTATAGCTCATCAACATCAACTTCGTAGTTGCTGGATTTTACAAGAGCAGATTCTTTGTTTTTCTGAGAGTCTGCTCAGCACAGAAGCCAGAGCATTTAACACTCTGACTCAATGAGAGGACTTTATGGCCAGTGAACCTTGCAGGAAGAGGAGTTTCTAGGAACATTAATGACCTGGACTGATAGGGAGTTTGGTACCGTGGAAGATCACACTGAACACCAGATTCCCCCGAGTAGCAAGAATGACATCAGGAAGCAGAAGATGCCTGAAATAGTATTTACGCAACCCAGATTTGAAAATACTCCCTTGTTCATCCGTGTAATATACACTGTGTTATTTCACTACAGAATTAAATAGCTGTTTTGCTGGATGAGGTCAAAATAAGATTTTGACAATAGACTCAGTATTCTGGGATGACTATTGGTCAAGAACAATGCATCATTTGTTTTGTGATCATGTACAAGCATACATGCATAAACCCACACCCACACACCAGTGTACGTTGCAGAAAACACATTGGCTGTAATACAGTACACACAAATGGTTCAAAAAAAAAATGTGTTTGCATTTCACATCAAGCACTTCATTTGCTTATCTGCGAAACGGATAAGAAGCTCACAAAACAAATCTGGCATTTGAAATTAGGAAACTGAAATGGAACATGCCTGTGGTCAATTTTGTAGCCCTAATACAAACACACTGCAATGAAACTTGCTTGTCCAGAACATTTTAACTATTGACTAGCAAACCATGAGGAACTTTTAAATTGTGGCTTAATTCACTAATGGCTAGCTGCATTTGACACTTGCAGATTATGTCGTATCAGCAGTAAAATATTTTCCCCACTTATGTTTCAATGCTTTGTTTGCCAACAGTCTTGAACTTCTCATCCTCCTTATAGGACTCCTACACCATTTGGTGGGCCGTTACTGATTGATGGGTTCCCTGGGTTTGATGTAGTTGTGCCTCCTACAGATGCCATGAATGATGTGATGCTACTTTCAAACAGACCCAGCTTCAACAGAACACCTCAAGGATGGATACAGGTTATGCCTGAATCAGAGGATCTGTAGAGACTGTCTCATAGTTGTATCTCTTATCCCAAGATCAATACCTGCTTGATGCCCAGTTATTAACAAATAATTGCCAGAAGAGAAATTTTTAACATAAAACAGACAAATCTCACACCATGTAAGTAAAAATAGCAGCTTTGGCTTATTGCTTATTGTTAAATGCTCCTGCCTGGTGCCATTTTGACTACAAGCTGTAACAAATCATGTATTCACAGTAGGATGATTGCTTAAAACAGAGATCTTCAAATTTGGCCCTTTTATGACTTGTGGACTTCAACTCCCAGAATTCCTCAGCTAGTGTGCCTGGCTGAGGAATTCTGGGAGTTGAAGTCCACAAGTCATAAAAGGGCCACGTTTGAAGATCCTGGCTTAAAACATTGAAACAAGGAGTGAAAGGAATTATTAAATCCAAACAGCAAAAAAAAAAAACAAAAAAAAACATTTTTTTTAAATGAACATAAATCTAGGGATACGAGAAGATATAGTAGTGTAAAGTAGTGCAAGGCATATAAAGCCTGTATCTGATTGTATCTGTCCTATCAGATCCAGCAGAAGAGGCAAGCTACAGGCCCCTATTTGCATACTATCTGGAAAGACCCAGGAACAGAGCTTTTCTCTCTAAACATCCCCCCAGAGATTAGATTTGCCCCAACATTGGTGGCCTTTCATATAGCTTTCATGTCCTGGTTATTCCATCAGGCATAAGGATTGGAATATATGACAGAGCCTGTAGAATGGATCTAATGATGGCAAAACAATTTTTTTTTAACCTTGCTGCCCTTTACAGATTTATTGAGGTGTTATTTTTTATTTTGTGATCTGCTGGTTGCTACTCAGATCCATTTCATTAGATGGGTAGCCATCTAAATTGAAATTAAATTTTAAATAAAATAAAGCAGGTTAAAATGAACTGGGCTTCATGTTGTTGTTGTTATTTTGAAACAAATGATAGGTCAGATGTGGATTTATGTTTATGTCTGGTTTGTCTCTAATTAAATACCCAGAATTTTTTGAAAGAGATCAAAGCAAGATGTTGTAAAAGTTGCTAGAAATTTTTTTTAAAAAATCACATCTATTACAACTCTGATTTTCTTATGTTGGAAGCCGTTTTCAGAAGTTTGTTTTCAATAACCTAGATAATGATACAGGTCCAGTTTTTAACAAAAGATTACTAGAAGTTTTCTAGAAGAAGACAGAGAACTGGGGGCACAGTAAGAGATTATATCAATATCATTGTTAAATGAAATTCATATTCCTATTAGCTCTTGCGGGTTACATTGTCTCCTCTTATTTTTGTGAAGTTATATTTATTAAAAAGAATTAGGAAATCCATCAATGAAAATATTAATAAAATTGAGAAAAGTGAATGAGTTGATGAGATACTGCAATATAGTATCCAGAAACTAAAACTTATGGGGAAAGGGGGAGATTTTTTTAAACAACAGCTTTATCAATGATAGTCTTTGTAGGGTCCTGATAAGTAATTTGGATTTTGACTAGTCTGTGCTCTTGTACTCTTTCTGTATGCCTATGTGGAGACTATTAAGCATATTGACAAAGCTGGAGAGGTCTACTTGCCAGAACTTGGAACCAAAGAGTTTGTGCAAACAATAGAGAGCCTCATTCAATTATCTACTTTCATGAATACATTTTCCTTCATGACTGAATTTATTCAGCTGTGTCAAAGAATTGGATTGCATAATTTATTTAATTTGCTGGTATTTATTGGTTAACAAACTTTGCATTGTTAGAAGTAAGGTCTTCATCCTGGTTCATCCAAGCCGGGAATAAATAAGTAAACATGGCGACTGCTTTGGGAAGAAGGTTACAGTTTATTGCAGAAAGATGGTTCTTCAGGAAAGTGCAGAGGAGAGAAGGAGAAGAGGGAGATTGAGCACATGGGCAGTAGGTTTTATACCCCCCCTAGCCTTTTGTTTGGAATAGTTTCCTGTTCCTGTGGCATGAACCTTGAGGCTGTTTCTGAGTGTTTGTCTAGGCCTTGATATCTGTGGTTTAATTCTATTATCATATCCTGCTTCCCAGGTGATGGGGCTGACTCCTAGAGTTTGGGTGGGGTATGCAGATCTTCTCTTTTGTCTTCTTGATTGCTCTGGCTTCAACTTTCTGATGGTTTTACATTTGCATTTGTATGGGCCTAGCTCTTGCTTGGGGCAGAGAGATAGATTTAGGGCCAGGTTTGGTTTTAAAAAGTCCTTTTGAGGAAAAATATATTTTTCTGCCCTTTTTAATATTTCTTCTCTGGGCTAACTTTCATCACTTTGCAGTTTTGAAAGGAGCAACAGTGACATTTAGTTCCTTAATGGAAACCGAAATGTCAGCTCCTATTAAAGGAACACTGCAGCCACTTAGAACACTCAAGGAATGCCTTCCCATGTGTTCCAAAAGAGCAACGGGGCATTTAAAAAGGACTCCATTCAGCATTAAAAACATCTTTTCCCACGATGAGAATTTCTATTGTGTGCTCCCCCTTTTCCCCCCTCCCATAACACAAATTTGCTCTGAGGATCTCCCAAACTTCAAAGCAGATTTGAACTATATGCAAAGGGGTCATTAAGATTGGCTCCACTGGCACTTTGGCAATGAAATATCAGAAACACAGAGGTTCTTACCAACCATTAACAATTTTTTTTTTGTTTTCAGTAAACAACTGTCCACTTTTTAGCCTGGTTAAGTATATATCATATTTATATATTAGAGAAATAAAGTGATCTATTTTAAATGCATTTTGCTTTGAGTTTTTTGTTTCGGTTAAGTAATGTTATTTTTCCAAAAAAGAGAAATTATTCGTGATATGAAGGTAAAACTAATAAAAAGACACCTCATCCTCATCATAATTAATGGCAAACTTCAAAGGCTATTTTAGCACCCCAACCATTCTATTGTGGCTACAATTTTTAGACAGCTATGGTCACAATAATTTGCTAAAAATTTTACTTCCCACATTTGTAACCTCTCACACTCATGGGACTCTTGTGGCACTTTACATATCTAAGGTGCTACAAGACTTATATAACAGAGTAACCTTTTTCCTAATTATGTAATTCAGATGGATTATCAAATGCAGTGGTTCAATACTGCTATCTCTGTATTCAAGGCAGATGCTTGGACACACCTGCCTAGATTATAAACTTTGATTTTAATATTCTGCTTTCTTAAATCTATTGCTGTAGGTCAGTGTTTCCCAAACTTGACAATTTTAAGGCATGTGGACTTCAACTCCCAGTTGAAGTCCTCATGCCTTAAAATTGTCAAGTTTGGGAAACACTGCTGTAGGTTGTTCATGGATATTAATATAGTGTGGTTTTTAAGTGATTTAAAAGTCATGATCAGCAGTATCCACTGGAGGATTTGGGGATGGGGGGGGAGGCAGGACTTTAAAAAAAAAGGCAAAGCAACAGGAGCAGCATCACATTGCTCCTGCTCTTTTTGTCCACGCAATGATAAGACTAGTGTCACAATGTCACTTCTGCCATCTTGCTTTATTGACATGCCCCTTTTTCCAGACAAAACTGGAAAAGCAGTCTAATATGAGGCATGCCTAAGTTCAAGTATAGCATTTTAATATTGGTGCTTGAGCTATGTTTAATTATTAAAAATGGCTGGGAAGAAAGTCAATATTTTATGCAATTCATTTCTCTGAATTGTCGATGTTCATCTCCTTTATAAAGTCTGGAAATTGAAATTGCCTGGGTAAGAACGTGAGCATTGTAACTCTACAATTTGGGTTCCAGCTACGTCAACAGGCCTAAAAGTCAAAATGTGTGGTGGGATAGGTTTATTACTGCCTTTCCAACAGCCTGGATTATGAAGCAAACATTGAAAAATATATATTCATTTTGGAGAGCTGCAATTTCTCACCTGGACTACTGTAACACACACTCTGTAAGGGGTTATCCTTGAAGTCCATTCAGAAGCTTCAGCTGATGCAAAGCGCAGCAGTGAAAGCAGTCTTTGGGGCCCCAAAGGATGACCACATTACACCTCTGCTCTGCAAACTTCACTGCCGACCAATGTGTTTCCGAATGCAGTTCAGTGTTATTACCCTTAAAGCCCTTAATGGCATAGGTCCAGGCCATCTGATGAACTGCCTTGTCCGGCTAGGACAAGGCTATCCTACTCTTGCCAGCAAACAGGGACCACTTTTGATTGTTAGCCAACTCCGACTATCAAGAGCAACACCTGCCTTTGAAGCATCTTACTTTTTAAAGCAGTGGTTCTCAACCTGTGGGTTGCGACCTCATTTGGGGTCGAACGACCATTTCACGGGGGGTCGCCAAACAACGCAGTTCACCATTTTTTTCCCCTTTTCCTCAGCTGTGCTACTCCCTTTTATTCTGTTGGCTTTTGAAAGCCAATTGAATAGACTCTCTTGAGTCTTGCAGCACCGTTTGCAGAATGGGACTTTTGGCGGGCTCAGCAGGGCAGAGACAACCTAGACAATTCCTATTGGCTTTTGAAAGCCAATAGAATAGACTCTCTTAAATAGAGTCTAATTCTATTGGCTTTCAAAAGCCAATAGGAATTGTCCAGGTTGTCTCTGCCCTGCTGAGCCCGCCAAAAGTCCCATTCTGCAAACGGTGCTGCAAGTTGTCTGCAACGAAGGCGAGCTGTCTGGAAGTTTCCACCCCTTCCTGCTGAGCAACTACTAAAAATGTAAGTAAAAGAGGGCCAAGGGTGGGAGGTGGGAGGCCAGCAGGCGCAGGGAGGGTTGCTGGCGTGCGTGAGGCCCGGCGGGTACCTTACCTCTCTTGGGCTGGGCCAGCTGGTGGCCCAGCCAGTGGTCGGCCTGCGCAGTCTCTGCTGCTTGCCAGCTACGCCTCAGCCGGCGCAGGGGGCGTCACCACGCATGCACAGTGCTCCCAGGCAGGGAAAGTCCTCAACTTACGACCGGTTGGTAGTCCTCGACTTACGACCGGTTGGGGGTCGCGGCATTAAAAAGGTTGAGAACCACTGTTTTAAAGTAAGATTTCCCTCCCTCCCCAATCCTTCCACAAGAGCCTGAAGACCTGGCTGTGCCAGTTGGCCTGGGAACCAAATGGGGAAGTTCCACAGTGGAAGTGGACTCCACCTCCCCTCACCTTGCTCTCTGTTCTCCATCCATCCATCTTTTTGGTTATCATGGATCAACGACATCAGCAAGTATTGCAGGCCCAATTGGCAAAAGAAAGCTCAGGACTGTATGGGTTGGAAACATGCAGATGAAGCAGTGGTGGGATTCAGCCGGTTTGTACCATTTCGGCAGAAGTGGTAGCTAATGTTTTGTTGCCCAGGCCCAGAATGGGACTTCCGGAAGCGGCATCCACAGAGAACCGGTTGTTCACATATTTGAATCCCACCACTGGGACGAGGCCTCCATCCAGCAATGGAAGACAATGGCTAGCATGATGACGATTCTCATTGTGTTCCTTGTTCATTTTATTGTTCTATTATTTTACTTCTGTTTACACTCCTTTCATTTTCTTCCTTTTTCCTAATGTAAGCCACATAGTTACCCCATGGCAAGATAGGCAGCAAATTAATTTAACAAATAAACAAACTAAAGGCTAGGTTCAAACATCACTGAGAAAAACAATTAGGAATATTTTCTTTAAAAAAAAATACTGAAACTTGAGAATAGGTAAAAAATATGATTTTCTTTACTAAGACACATTACAGACCAAGGACCAAGAAAGATGGTGCAAAGTAAATAATGAAACATATCTAAAACAACCATCAATAATCAAACATTAGATTAAGGAATAAACCAGACAGGCTAGGGAAGCAAATGAAGGCCGTGGAACTTTTACCTCAGGTCGTTTCCTCTGTAACAAGAGGATTAGCAAGCATGCAGAACTGCTGTCTCAACATTTTGATAGCATGTATTACAGCCAGGATCATGAATGACAGAAA